CCACCTTTGCTGATGTCGTCAAACGGGCTGCACATAAACGGCTGTTCACCGGAATCCAATCAATCAACGATGATTCAGTCTTGGAGCTTAGAATGATACCTACACCAGCTTGACCCGTGAGTGCTGCATCGGTGTCTCCGGATGTGTGCAACCAATAACGAGAGGATAAGCCGGGTGCAGTCAATTCAATGACCCCGTTAGGGTCATTGATCCTAGTTTCGGACACACAACACACATCAATACCCATTGTGTCCAAGGTGCGTGCGAGTGCAGCCTGTTGACCTGTTTGTCTTAGAGTGCGAACGTTGAATGTCGCCATGCAAACGGGACAGCGTGGCCTTATAAGGGACTTTTGCCGACAGGCATCCGATAGGTGCTGTGGGATGGTGGCTGCAGATGGTACTACTCCAGTAGCACTTCGGTTGCTGTCAATTAAGCTGGGAATTATAGAAGTAAGGTTAGTAATGGGGGTCGGGATGGGAGTAAGAGAAACAGGTGGAAAAGAAAGAAGTGAGGCGCCAGCAGTAGCATGTTTTCGCTTATCCGCCCTGCTGTATGCAGCAGATAAGGCGACCCTTGATAATCTGCGCGACGGCCGATGTAGAATGAAGTTTATTATTGAACAAAATGTCATGGTTGTATGTGGGCTGAAATACTGCCAGGGCACCCAGAACTTGACGGGAGGACGATTAGAGTCCTCATCCCAAGCCTTTGGCTCAAAAGCCTGTCCGCAAGGCAGCAAGGTGGCAGTGATTTAGTTTTACAGAAATGGACGCCATCCCATTTCAAACCCCGCAATTTGGAGCACCAGGAGACTGAGTTTGTGTGACATCTCACCAGTGACCAAGCTGGTAGGAGTAGCTCTCAAGATGCCCGGAGGCATCACCCAGTATAGCTCAATGAGTCAATGAGGTACGCAAACCGTCGCACCACGTTAAGGTCCAGTCTCCTTGCGAAGGGCAACAGAAGTATACAGTCCACTGTATACATACCACTGCGACTGAGCACTTCCGTGTCAACAGCTCAGTTACCCAGTTGATATACATAATCCAGCCTCCGGGTTCCTGTTTAACCAAATATGTATTCAATTGTGAGAAATGCTACCACTGTGCTTTTCTTCTCGTTTTCGCCCGGTCTTTTGTTCATTGTGTCAATGCACCTTGTGCTGTGACATTCCCTTCCGTATTTTCAAGGCGGAATCAAGCAGTCGTTCAGCCTTACCCCGGGAGTCATAACAAACGTTAGTCTTCGATGGACATGCTGATGTTCGAGAATTTGCGCTGCGACGTCGGCCATCAACAACAAGACAGTTCTTCGCGAGACAATCTGTCTCGGATAGCTGGAACCCTGCGAAGCAAGTTGCACACAAAAGCTTTACACTCGCCAGAAATAAGTGGGACTCTTCGGTAGTTGGTGCATCCTCTTCGAGAGCTTTTTTTGCAAATCGGTACAAAGAAAGACGCGCCCCATGAATGGATAACCTTCTTATCAGTCTGTACCTTCGTGGGCAATGAGAGGATTTCTCTGATAACTACATTCCCTCCATCTTTGAATTAAGCCGTGGGAAGACTGTCAAGACCAGGAGCTTTGTGACATTTCATTCTGGATTTTTCTCAGCATTTTCGCTTCAGTAGGAGAATCTGTGCAGACAAACCAGGCATTACGTTATGGCAATGAAGATATAACCGGGGCTTGTGTTGGGTAAATAACATGATGAGCAACTTGTCCCATCCAAATATTCAGGCGCTTGCGTAGGTTGGTGATCTTTGTGCCAGCTAACGTATATTATCCGGCCGATGGTATGTGACTTAACTCTGATGGTTTTGATTTTGTTCCAAGCAGTTACGGCAGTTTCCACTTCTGTAACTCGTTTTGACTTCCAGGATTCACGATCACTGGGAAGATTTACGTGCATTTGTTGGAGAACGGACCCGTGGATTTCATTTTACTCCACACCGGATGCTATAGCCATTTGATGCTTATGCAGTTTCGAGGATGTTGCCGAGATTCGCTGTCCAGCAAACGATGCCGCAGCAAGATAAACATCCAGAAAGTGTGGTTTACTGTAAGCGTAGTCACATTTGCTTTAGCGTCCCGAAGAGAGGATAAGTTATATTCACGAAGTTTCCGCTGTTATCCCACTTGAACGCTGAGCTCTTCCAATTTACTAGTGTTCGGTCACTTTTGCTTACTCGTAGGCAGACCGCATAAATACATATAAACCGTCACACGTACCAGCGCGAATTGGCCGATAAGATCTGCAGTCCCGGATGGCCAAAGGCCACCGGTGACATGGTGATGTGGTCAGTATGTGACCAACGCTGGAACTGTGATGGAGAACGTCATGGACATAATGGTTCCTTGGTGTCGTACTGCTGCTTTGCTTCACCTGTGGGACTGCGACCATCTGTCTGTTCAGTCACGCGCCCAGCAAGCCGTAAGAACACAAAGACCAAGGCTCGGTATATAGGGTATATTCTACAACATAGGTCTACTCTTTATTGGTGAACGAAACATACCAGTTTTCGAAGTCCGAGCCAATCACCCTTCTGCATCCGGTTCTCAGCTGATATGAGTGAATTCCGTCCCACTGGTTTACCCTATTTCGCAGAATGGTTCGCCTCCTTTGACGTGGGCTTGTATTTGCTGGCTAATCAATTCGCACCCGATTCCCATATTCGACGGAATGGTCGAAGGTCGTTCCACGCCCGTCCTAATGACATACAGCAGACAACTCACGTGCTCCGTGGTAAGCCAGCGCGCAACGTTGTATCTGGATATTGGATCCTTTTACATCTCTGTTACGTGGATGGGGACAGTTCGTGCTTGGGACACAAAGTTGGTGGTCGATACACAGGCTGAACAGCCTTTGTCCATTACCCGACCGAACGTCATCATATCAGTGCTGACCTCCATGATGGCGTTCGCTTAAGCAACGGTGTTGGGAGAGAGCAGCTCCGAAAATCTCCACTTCGGATGCGATCCCGCTGATCGAATGGCGTAGGTTTGCTTTAATGCAAAATATAGCTTCAATCAAGATTGCGTGTCGCAATCCAGACACACGGCGGTTACTCCAACCCCCAATAAAGAGTTAAAATTTCCCGCTGTACTAATGATGTCGGTTTTTAGGACCTTAGAAAGGTTTTTGATAGGATTGGTTCTTGCTTGAATCCCGGCTACCGTCAGTGGGAGCTAAACGGTAGGTACAAAAAGGGCACGCTTGTCTTCTCGACGCCTGTTAACTTTGCACAGACCATGGTTCATCATAACTCAGAGGCGACTATTGATTAGAATTCACTCAAGAAGGACGTCTTCGGCTCTAGCACCAAGGACCATCCAACTACCAGCTTGTCTAAATGCGGTGGACTCGACGTCTCTTAAAGATGAGGGTGGAAACGTGTGTATGGGTAGATTAGTAAACTGCCTGGATCCTAAGCTCGGGATTTAGGAAAGCAGCACGATTTTCCAGAGTGTGTGCGAGGCCGACTTGTTATCCAATCTGCTTTAGGGTGCGCACAATTTACGCTGCCCAGTTGGACTGTGGTTTAAGATGTGGAAGTTTGGGACTGGCTAATCCCGGTCTGGCGCTGTGTGATTGTGTCAAAAGATGGTAACATGACAGTTTCATCAGAAGAGACAGTGCCGTTCACTGTCGAGAGATTAGGCGATAACATGAATGAATAGTGCACGGATGTACACGAGCGGGAGGCGTGTGCCGGATGAGTTATCGCAGTAGTGGCAGGGAAGCAACCATTCAGTAGAGCGAAGGGGTGCATTTCAGTTCCATCCCAATGTGGCATCCTTCGCAGTTTGGCTCATATCTGCTGGGAACACCGTGTGAGCAATGAGCATGTTCGACGCCTCGTTTATGATGCAGGGAGAAGAAGCGAATCCTTCAGCACCGTTGTTTCACGCTCCAGACTCCCATGGCTGGGCCACATGTTGCGAGTGCCAGCCCACCGACTCCCTGGACGTGCGTTGTTCGCGCGCCGGGGGTGTGGATGGAAGAAGAGGTGGGGTGGCCAAGTGATGGCTTCGTCAAGAGGAATGGTGGGCCTTACTTCGAAGTTCGCCTCAGTTAGAGGCTCTCGGCTTTCCGGTTGGGGTCCGAAAGACGATGAACGCGTTTGGCTGGATACACTTGTTGATATGGCTTGGAGCCGATCTCAGTGGCGTTCGTGCTGTGAGTTTATTCGTCCCTCTTCCTCCAACCACGATCTCATTTCCTAGGCACATAACATTTTTGCGGCACAACAGCCGGTTGTTAGCTATCCGGAACGATGTCCATCCGTTACTGGTGACTCGGCCGGCGTGCCTATGTTGCATGTTTTCCTTTCTTTTGTTTTGCTGCACGATAGCTGAGATGTTTTCCACCTGCAGTTAACGTGTGTAATTCTGGTGATGGCCTCGTGGCCGCTACTGATGTGCCCTTCCAATTGGCTGTCTGCATTTGCCAAGCGTGTGTCCGTCCACCGCTCAACGGCCTTTATCATATAATACATGATCGATGCACTGTACGAAAAGCAGCTTGGAATATGGTTTGATTCCCATTGGCCTAACGTGTTCTTTGCGCTACTTTGGCCACGAGACAGCTACTGATCATCGGCCCCGCACTCGCTCAAGTATAACGCTTAGGGGACCGCCATCCCGAGAATCCGATCAAGCAGCCTAGCCCACAAAGCGGGCAAAGAGCCCGCACCCGTGGTGAGCTCGTGACAGAATAATCAGTTCATGCACCTTTTAAAATACACACTAGGAGGCTAACACATCTGTCGATATTGACTGTTTGGTGGTGAGTTACATCCACTAAGTCACAGTGCTTTCATGCGACTTATGTGGCTTTTTACCAAGGAACGCTTGTGACGGAACTGGAACTTAAGTGCCAAGGCTTGAAACCTTATATAGCGCGATGCCCTTGACATTTTTCTCTTTGTAAAGCATCAAACAATTGCTTGATTGACCGATTAATCAGTTTTACTTCCCCTATTTCCTTTCAACAGACTTTATGATGCTTATTCATTGCGAATCATTCCCGTGATTGGGCAGTTGGTTGCTGGTGACTGGGCGTCCTACCAGTATCTAGTTGAAAGCATACGAAGATTCCCCAATCAATCTGAATTTTCAGAACTCATCCAGGATGCTGGGTTTTCGTCAGTTCAAGTGATCAATTATTCCAATGGCATTTGCGCGGTTCATAGCGGATTCAAGGAACCCCTGCATCTCAAAACTGGCTCCTTACCTTAAGTAGTGCCGAGGCGATACCCCATTATTCACTTTGTGTTAGAGTTTCGTAATTATCAGCTCTTCTTAAAATTCCAATGAACTAAGCTGTACACTTTATTTTGCTACTTGATAGGCAACTGTGCAGTGTTTACTCAAATGCCCCACTTACTGACTGGTTGATTTTTCCACCCTTTGAAGTTTCTCAGCTCATGTGTACATACCTTCCTTGCTTTGGTCAAGCTTCTATGAATATCCATCCTCGTGGTTTGTCTTTCATATCGTTAAAGAACTCGTAGTTGGTTCTACCGTAAGTACAACACAGTCACGTAACTGCTGAAAAGATCAAAATGCGGAGATATTGCTGTTCCGTATGCACGGATTATGCCTTGAGGTAAAAAGTTTGCCACCACCTGCAGCTTCACCCTCTGCTGCTGCATCCTGTTTTCGTTCTCCGTCGGATCCTTCTCATTTCTCCCGATCCACTTCGGCATTTTTACTTTCGACCACCGGTGCCTTCGTAATTTAGCTCACATCTGGTGGGAACACTGCGTGAGCAACGAGCGTGTTCGACGCCTCGAGGCATCCTCTAACAACTCACTGGATAATATTTATAGTGTGTAAGTACGCTTTAAGCCTGGACTTCGATTAGCTGACTTCCACTGAGTACAAAAAATGCCATACTTGTTCGGCCGGCGGCCGAGTGGTCTGCACGCCTGGCTTGCAATCATAAGGTCATCGGTTCAGATCCACTTAGGGGCGGGCGTCCTCGCGATATGCTCTACCCACACGCGACTAGTAGTGGTCGCGCGGCAGCGAAGCGCCATTATGGCGTATAGCTGACGATTTACCGTCACAACGGGACTGGGCCTTAACATGGTACGACGGTTTGCATATCACTTTGACTCATTGAGCTACACTGGGTAGTGCCCCACGTGCCCTTTGAGAGCTACTCCCACCAGATTGGTCAATGGTTAGAGGTCAGAAGCTCAGTCTCCTGGTCCTCCAGGTTGGGAGTTTGAAATGGGATGGTATCCATCTCTGTAAAAGTAAACCCTTTACACTTCCCCACTGCCTTGCGGACAAGTTTTTGAGCCAAAGACTGGTTGAGGACCCTAATTGTCCTCTTGTCTAGGTTTGGGTGTCCTGACAGTATTTCAGCCCACCTTCAACCATAAAAATTTCCTCAAACTTTAACTGCATCCTACATCTGCCGTTGTGCAGATTATAAAGGGTCGCCTTATCTGTTGCATACAGCAGGGCGCATAAGCAAAAACCTGTTACTGCTGTCGCCTTCTTTCCTACCTCTTTCCCCCCGCAACCCCCATTACTAGCCTACCAGCTATAGTTTCCAGCTTAATTGACAGCGGCGGAAATGTCACTGGAGTCGAACCATCTACAGCTAGCTTCCCGCATCACCCACAGTCACTTATAAGTCCACGCTGTCCCATTTCCCTGGCGGCGTTCAACGTTTGCACTCGTACACAGGTTCGACACACTGAGTATTGACGCGTATTGCGCATCCGAAAATAAGATCAATGACCCTAATGCAATTGTTGAATTTTAAAACGGTTAGTTCCCTTCAGTAGTTTGAACAAAGAAATGAGAAGACGAATATTGACAGATGCTAGCACTTCGTAATATCTCGTCAGTACCAATACAATAACAGGGAAGTCCTTTTAGTTGTCTTACAGGGCACAGTCAAACCAACCAAATTTCTGGTTGTGGTCATTTTTGTTGGGATTAGGTCCACGGCAACCGCAGGTTGACAACAAATTGCTTTTGGACAAACAAAGCTGGTCCAATTAGGCTTATCGCGACGGCCTCGACAAATCGTAAAAGGCGTACATTAGAATGACGTAACAAGATCCGGAACGCCGATAAGAGATTGACCTGGTGACGAGTCGCTAAATGTGTCTGCCTGTGGAGGACGCTGGCGGCACGTATCATCGGAAGTGGATTGAGTAACTTTGCGCGGAACCCAGTTTGGTAAGTGCTCCTTCACTCTGGAATCCAAAGCCCTTTCGGTCCTGCCGATGTAACTGATACCGCAGTCACACACGAGTTGGTAGACACAATGTGATTTGGCACCGACGGGTTCATCTTCCTTTACTGAAGGTAACGGCAAGTTTCGGGTTCTGTTGATAAGTACCGTCTCCGCAGCACAGTATGTACGCTGAATGGCCGAGACAATGCGTTTGGTTATCCTTCTTGCTGCAATGTCACCCTTGAATAGTGGCTCGATGTATACCTTTTTCTTATGGGTTGTCAACATTATCTCCTTGAGCGGTCTAACTTGGCTATGTTTGTCTATGAATCGCTTTGGGTAACCATTCTCCATAAGTGTTTTAGTGATCAGCTCAAACTCCTCAGGCAGGCAGTGGTTGGAGCAGATACGTCTGGCCCGAGTGAATAATGTTTTTGTCAGCGCGCGCTTGTGTGCCATCGGTGAGAAGCTAGTGAAGTGTAGGTATTGGCTTCCGGTATACAGATCGCTTAATCAGCCCATTATCCCTGCGACTCATAAGATTGTCGAGATACGGAAGACGCCCATTCGATTCGAATTCAAAAGTCACCTTCAGGTTGGCGTGAACATTATTAAGTTGGTCTACTAATTGTTCGGTTTGCATCTTCGTGGAATCGAAAACAAGGATATCAGCTACATATCGTTTGTAATACGGCAGCTGGGAAATCTGTCCACTTAGTTTCCTCTCAAGCATCAGCATGAAAAAATCAGCCAGTATCGGGCCCAACGGATTATCCATAGCTACTGCATCAATTTGACGATATGAGGTGTGCTCTAATCGGAAAGCGACATTCTCCGTGCAAAGTAACAGGGACTGTCTCAGGAGGTCTGCCGGTATTGGTAGATGGAAATTCTCCTCTTCTATCAGGTGGTAAATGTAATCAACTGTCTCTAGCAAAGGGACATTAGTAAATAGTGACTGGATGTCCATTGAGCACATAACCTTGTCGCCCATGCTGATGTTGTCTAAGTCTTTGATTATTTCACAAGATCCCTTATGCTGTGCAAAATGTAGTGCTGCCTCAGTGGCGCAGACAGTCGATTTACACTTGATTACATTTGCCACCTGATAGAAGAGGAGAATTTCCGTCTACCAATACCGGCAGACCTTTTGAGACAGTTCCTGTTACTTTGCACGGAGAATGTCGCTTTCCGATTCCAGCACACCTCATATCGTCAAATTGATGCAGTAGCTATGGATAATCCGTTGAGCCCGATACTGGCTGATTTTTTCATGCTGATGCTTGAGAGGAAACTAAGTGGACAGATTTCCCAGCTGCCGTATTACAAACGATATGTAGCTGATATCCTTGTTTTCGATTCCACGAAGATGCAAACCGAACAATTAGTAGACCAACTTAATAATGTTCACGCCAAGCTGAAGGTGACTTTTGAATTCGAATCGAATGGGCGTCTTCCGTATCTCGACAATCTTATGAGTCGCAGGGATAATGGGCTGATTAAGCGATCTGTATACCGGAAGCCAATACCTACACTTCACTAGCTTCTCACCGATGGCACACAAGCGCGCGCTGACAAAAACATTATTCACTCGGGCCAGACGTATCTGCTCCAACCACTGCCTGCCTGAGGAGTTTGAGCTGATCACTAAAACACTTATGGAGAATGGTTACCCAAAGCGATTCATAGACAAACATAGCCAAGTTAGACCGCTCAAGGAGATAATGTTGACAACCCATAAGAAAAAGGTATACATCGAGCCACCATTCAAAGGTGACATTGCAGCAAGAAGGATAACCAAACGCATTGTCTCGGCCATTCAGCGTACATACTGTGCTGCGGAGACGGTACTTATCAACAGAACCCGAAACTTGCCGTTACCTTCAGTAAAGGAAGATGAACCCGTCGGTGCCAAATCACATTGTGTCTACCAACTCGTGTGTGACTGCGGTATCAGTTACATCGGCAGGACCGAAAGGGCTTTGGATTCCAGAGTGAAGGAGCACTTACCAAACTGGGTTCCGCGCAAAGTTACTCAATCCACTTCCGATGATACGTGCCGCCAGCGTCCTCCACAGGCAGACACATTTAGCGACTCGTCACCAGGTCAATCTCTTATCGGCGTTCCGGATCTTGTTACGTCATACTAATGTACGCCTTTTACGATTTGTCGAGGCCGTCGCGATAAGCCTAATTGGACCAGCTTTGTTTGTCCAAAAGCAATTTGTTGTCAACCTGCGGTTGCCGTGGACCTAATCCCAACAAAAATGACCACAACCAGAAATTTGGTTGGTTTGACTGTGCCCTGTAAGACAACTAAAAGGACTTCCCTGTTATTGTATTGGTACTGACGAGATATTACGAAGTGCTAGCATCTGTCAATATTCGTCTTCTCATTTCTTTGTTCAAATTGTTGAATTAACTGCACGCGGCTTGTATTTTCGCTATTGGTTGCACGCATCCGCAGACACTAATACGGCAGCATCTGGTCAAGTTGGCATAGTCATCGTACTGAGCTCCAAGGCTGACTAATCGCTGGTTAATGGGATTGCGGTGAACAGTCGTTTGTATGCAGCCCATTCGACTATATATGATAATTTTGATTCACGAAATGGTACATGGTGCTGTTTGTTTGTTCTTTTCGCTTATACTCCCACCGACTGCAGCTCTGATTCTGCAACGGCACATACTACCATGAACTGAACACACTACTACGCAGTTCCACCAGTTCAGCTTTCCTTGTACTTACAGGGTATGAATGCACAAATAGGTCGCCTTGGCTCTTCAGCGGCTCAACTAAGTGGTGATTTTGAGCTTTATTCTGACCGTATGGATAACGGTGAGTCTTTTGCAACTGTGTGTAGCGCACCAGCTGTCACTACACGCTTGCTAACTACTAAATAATTAAATAAACTTTTTATCCTCGGCAACGTGAGGCACGCCTTTACAGGCATGATCATATTATGATAACAAAGTGTGAACAAAATGTACAAGTATACAACATACTTGTCGTAGGAATAAATGTTTGCTAACTACTAAATAAATAAATAAACTTTCTATTCTCGGCAAGACGAGGCACGCCTTTACAGGCATGCTCATATTATGATAACAAAGTGTGCACAAAAATGTACAAGTATACAACATACTTATCATAACAGTAAATGTTTGCATGGATGTGTGTAACTGTGCATAGGTGTAGTCTGTTTGTAAGTGTGTCTGTGACTGACAGCGGCGGTATGTAAGGATAAACGAATTAATGTCCGTGGATTGGATGTAATTATTAAGAT